AGGTTAAAAAATGAAATGTAATTTATTTTGAATTTGGAACAAATAAAGAGTTAAAAAAAAAAAAAAAAAAAAAAAAAAAGTCTAAGTCACATTCAAAGTGTTTTTTATGTTACTTCATACGCGAAGTTAACGATTTTCAGAGTTGGTTGGAAATGCTAACATGAAGCTTTTAGTGTGATGATTTATTAGCTAGAGAATGATCTTTAGAAGAATGTAGGTGGATAGTTCCGTTAGAGTACGGCAGTATGAAAATTGAATAGAAGTTGAAAATGAGCGAAGGGCCATTAAAGCGACAGTTTTTCAAGATGACGCACATTTTTGCCTAGCCCGTACGATGTACGCAAGTCAAATGGTATTAAGTCGAAAGGGGAAGAAATTATTTTTCAATAATTCAAAAGCAGTTTTTTTTTTCGAATTATACGAAAATTCTGTTTATGTAAATGTGTTTACTGTGTTCCGGTTAGCAAGTACAATACAGTAAACACATTTCCGTTAACAAAATTTTGGTTTTGAACGAAAAAAACTGCTTTTGCATTATTGAAAAATAACTTCGCGAAGATCGATTTCAAACAACCAAAGGTCCATTAATTTATTACGTAATACGAAAATGTAATGTTTTATTGAACCACTTCATTCGAGCAGTTAAAATGACGTTTAATACCACTAGAACTTTGAAATAAAAATTATTTTGAGATTTTTTCTTCTAGAACCTCGAGAAAAGTAGCCAAAATCTGTGCGTTTTATAAAAAAAAAAAAAACATTGACATTAGATGGTCCAGTTTTGTGAAATCGCTGGTAGAAAGTCAAGCCAAAACTGCTTGACAAAGTGGTCAATTCCTCCATAACAGAAATGAGATTAAAATGACATCATGCGTTAAATAATGCCCAAGTAACAATTTTGGTTTTATAAGAGTTTTGTAGACCGCAAATTAGACCTGTAGAATGCTTTAAAAACTCGATAAAACTTGCAATGTTACTTGGGTAAGGACACTAAACATAGTTGGCATCCCAAGTAACATTTTAAGTTTTATGAAATACTACAAAGCAATTTTTTTTTTTTATATTAATTTATTTGTACAGGCTCAATCGAATAAACTTTACAGAGCCGAGTTATTATTTGCATTATACATGAATAATGTCCAAGTCCAAGTGAGAACATACGAGGAGTGCTTTACCGGCCTCATGGATCGAATAAGCTACAAAGCAATTATTAAACAAAATTTATAAAACCCTGGTCAAGGCTATTTTGTCATTAATGCGTCCACCAAAACCTCATTAAGACTAGAATATGTCTAGTTGGCCCACGTTGGAGAAGGTTCTGAAGGGTGTATTCTCGAAGCTCTTCAAGATTGATTTACTGCAAAAGGTTTTATGACGAACGCATTGAGAACCCTTTCCGAGCCATTTCCCCTAGCCGCTTGCTAAATCCACTAGGAAAGCATCAATCAAGAGAGAAAAGGATTTATGAATCCGAGCTTATCAAAATAATTAAAATAGAAACTGAAAATCTTGTTGAATATCCAAATTTATTACAATAGTTCTCATTAAGGGGGGAGTACACTTTGATTTTTCAAAAAAAATGCATTTTTTTTTGGCTTAAAATGTTCCTTGGGATGTATATTTTAATTAAGAAAAGACTCCAAGTCCACCAGAATATTCCTTACCGCTTTACGAAGCGATTTTCTAAAACATGTACCGGCGCGCTGAGAGAGCATCTTTATCTTTAAACGCGTTTATCTCGAAACGGGGTTTTTCAAACTGGCGTGGGAAATAACTCTAACCAGTTATCATCAAATTTGGATATTGCCTAGGTTTTCTTGTTCAGAATTAAATTCTGCTTAGAAATACGTATCCACTTTTTCGATTTTTAATCCACGATTTTGTAAGCATTTTTAGGGTGAAAAAATGGACTTTTTTTTCCTAAGGCCACAACTTTTGAAAAAAATAATTTAAAAAAAATCGGAATACGTATTTCTAACCCAAATTTCATTACTAATCAGGATTTTTGTTCGATTTATGTTCCAGGATCACGTGGAAAGGAGTATTTTCCCACGCCGTTTTCCGACTTCCGCGCGACCTGGTGCACCGGCCACGGAGACGAGCCAATCGAGTTCAAAAAAAATACAAATTGTAGTTCGAAGGATGACTAATAAATGGGTTATAACATATTTGCCCTCCCGAGTGTTTTATTGCTTAAAAAAATTAACGAAAATGCCTTACTTTTTGGACGTTCAAAGTGTACTACCCCCTTAAGTGGCCTAGTTTTAAGTGCCTTATAAAATGTTATGTGAAATGTACGTGAAAACATCGAAAAAAATAAGTCCGCCCTCGTAAAACGTCGATTTTACTAATTTTACTAAATTTTACAATGTAAAATTGAAAAAAAAAACTTCAGATCGAGCTTGACCGGGAAATTTTTGCATTTAAATGTTAACTCATTGTTAAATTTACCAAAATATAGTTATATCTAAGGAAATATAGATTGAAAATCGAAGGTTGTAAAAAAACAAGCAAACTAATTGGAACATGGATAAAAAATTGATTTTCATGGGTCATTTGTGAAAAAGTTGTTTTGCTTTCAAGAAATCCTTAACAAATTCATAAGGTTTTAAAATGGTTTTTATGAAGAAAACTTGCAGGCTGAATTGCATTTATCTAAAGCCGTTTTGCTTGATCCTAACCCGTTCATATTTATGGTAGCTTTTATGGAGGTAAAGTTGCCTGCAAAAAGTTCAACGTCAAAGTTTGTTTATCTTTCGATAGTTGCGCTGTGGGATCCAGGGTTCTTCCAGGCGGTTTTCTCCCGATGGATTGTGAGCAGTTACTCATATAGTTTGCGATACTGTTTTACAACAGCTGGAAGCGCAATCGTTCCCGAAAAAGATCCTTCTTTCGCCGAATAAAATCGTTGCCTGCAAAAAGTTCAACGTCAAAGTTTGTTTATCTTTCGATAGTTGCGCTGTGGGATGCAGGGTTCTTCCAGGCGGTTTTCTCCCGATGGATTGTGAGCAGTTACTCATATAGTTTGCGATACTGTTTTACAACAGCTGGAAGCGCAATCGTTCCCGAAAAAGATCCTTCTTTCGCCGAATAAAATCGTTGCCTGCAAAAAGTTCAACGTCAAAGTTTGTTTATCTTTCGATAGTTGCGCTGTGGGATCCAGGGTTCTTCCAGGCGGTTTTCTCCCGATGGATTGTGAGCAGTTACTCATATAGTTTGCGATACTGTTTTACAACAGCTGGAAGCGCAATCGTTCCCGAAAAAGATCCTTCTTTCGCCGAATAAAATCGTTTTTCGGAAACCCGCTAACTAACAGTTTCAGTGGTTTGATATCGGTTGTCATCTATTCGCAAGATCTGGAGAAGGCTGGTATGTTTTTAAACTTTCGACAATGTTTTATGAATTCGAGGGCCACGCTCACTTTACTCTTCTCCGCCAGATTGACAATCGTTGATGGTGTGCTGAAATTTTGCTGAAATCGACTTGAATTTTTCATCCTACTTCGTCTATGCTTCAAGATTTCCTTGTCATAAATTTGGATTTTATTAACTATGAGGAACCATCTTTTAAGCTTAAATTGGTAAACAGAGTGATTGGTGAGTTTATGATGAACTTTAAAAAGCCTAAAAAGCAACAATAAATGCTTTTTGCCCTAATGCAAAACCTAATGGTTTTATGGCTGCTTTTATAATGCTTGAACACGTTTATAAAATATTTTATCAATACATTAATAAACAATTGCTTATGACGTTTATGCTTGAATTACAGAACAGTTTTAAGGAGGGATTGAGAACTATTTTAAATTGATTTTTAAAATAAGACAGTTTTTGACTTTCTTGACAGACTATAAAAGGTTTTTAAAACAGCAAAAACCAGGAGTGTTTTACACTTTGAAATGCTGTATTTAAGCTAAATGGATTGTTCATTGCCATTTTAAAACCATCATAAATCAGAGTGGATGCCAAATGGTTACTGAATTGTTACTTGGGATGTGACCCGGGGCCTTTAAGTGGCCTATAAGTGGTACCGCAACCGTATACCGTAGAGAAATTAAGGTTATCCAAGAATTCTATTCATCACTCGTGCTACCAAATTGACGGATATTGATCCTGAGGTGAGTAATTCCAAATTGCATGTAGGGTAGACCACGTATATGGCCTAATCGTCCATTTGTGGACCTATCGAGCAGAATACATCAAATAAATCCATTGTTTCAGAGTCAATTATGCGTTTGGTACGATTCTTTAGTTCAAAAGCTACCGAACGAAGTCAATGAGAACGCGTGATATGAATGTTTACATCATTTTTTCTCAAAAACAAAAGAAGCGCTAGGCCGAAGTAAATTCAATGGCGTTTGAATGGCGCCCTATCTAAGCTCCCCGGTAAAGAGTTCATGGCAATAGAGCTTACAGTGTATGTACAATTTAAATCGATTGAAAAGCTAGCATTACGCCATTCAAAAGGATCGTAAAGTCATTGAAGATGTATCATAAATTTCGTCATAACGGTCGTAAAACAGCGGCTCATAACAAATAAAGTACGAAAGTGCATGATGCATTTTTGCGCCAATTAAAACCCTCAATGATATGTCATTCCGCAATAGCTACAGAAAACATTCCCAGCGTAGATTATTCGTGTAGAGCGTTAAAAGCAAAAAATCTTTCAAATTACACAATCTGCCGGCTGTGTACTGCAAATAGAAGCCATAAAAGGCGGTAGCTGAATTCGACGGAAGTGATCACCGAACCGAGCTATCAAACAAAGATGGGATCCTTTTTCAGCCACAGGACAGAATCGGAAGTCACTCGACTGATCATGTGCGGGATGATAAAATTACGACAGTAAAGGTATCAAATGTCGCACTCGGTAGGGATGAGTTGCAGGCCGGCAAGCCACACGACCACTTCCTAATGAGGTCTGTATAGGGGCAAACGAACGCTTGTAATAAAACGAAGAAAATATGACAGTAGGAGGAGACTGCGATCTTTCAAAACACTCACCGTATGTAATGTATGACTTGGTCAGGACATCTGGTGTCCAACTGTCAATCCTATCTAAGCTGCAGCTAACTAACACTATCAGGACGATCATGAATGAGTTCAGGTGCCTCCTCAGCATCGCTACCGGTATGCTGCCGTTGTCCATCATGAAGCTGGTGCTTCTCGTGGTATTTTATATGTTTTCAGCTATTTGATTACACACACACACGCTCTTTCCTTCGATCGCGCTTATGGCTTTTGGGCACTTGAGCACACCTTCTTCGGGCTCTCTGGAACTCGGTTTCACACTCGACGCATTTTCAGCAACTGTGCCGCTGTGCGGTGTATTATTATCTATCTAATTAGCGATTGCATTTATTAGTTAATATGTTCCTTAAAAAGCTCTCGATTTCGTCGGAGGCTGACCGCGGGCGTCTATATGTTGTTGCTCTGATCTGCCATTCGCGTGTCAGTGCTTTTGCTGGTGCAGCATGATCGGTGCTAATTAATGGCAACCTGGTCGTTGCTTTTCTTAGACGCCGGAGAAGGTTAATACTGCCGTTGGTGGCGCCGCGGTCGAAATTGTCATTTCACTAGTAGACCGATCTGCAAGGAAGAAAAAGAAACGAAACGTATTAAATTAGTGGTTAGGCGACATGTTTTTTTTTTCAGCTACCTCAGGGTACAATTTTGTGTCGTAAATATATGGCGGAATTAACACCGCACTGTTTGCGTCCAACCAGAGCTTTCTTGATTTGGAAATCGTTTTATTAATGCAGTTAGTTGATGTGTCGAGCACCATTTTAAAATCGTTGAATGTACATCATACCGTCACGCTAATGGATGTTTGTATCATCACGACAGGCACTGTCGCAAAGTATAGGCTGATTAACTTTGCTTTTATTGCCAGCGCCACGACTTGAACTTGACTTTGAAAAAAATAAAAATAATTTGTTTTATTGCCTTGAAGATCAACTCTTTGTTTTATCCAATTTTCTGAAATCGTAAAATTTAAGTATAGCAAGATAGCTGATTGCGTGTGATTAAGTTGGCGTTTAGAGCACTTAAAACTGGTATTAGCACAATAAAACTAGTGATCGTTCGATGCCAGACTGCGATAGTGCTTTTAGCAAATCGTATATCAGGGAGCAATCGATAGCTCATTTGTGCCATTTCCACATGAATTCAATTTATTCAGTAGCAGCAGGTTTAAAATGAACAAACTTTAACCCCTCGTTCGACCAATGCTCAGAAAAAGGGTTAAATACATACAATCCCATCGGACCCTTGTAAATTTATTTTGCACCGCCATGACACGACCTGTTCTCAATCCATTCTATACGAGCCCAGTTCCCATCGCGGTGCAAATGCAAGCGAAACTAATCCCCATCGTAATAAACTGTAATATCAAATTTTACATTCTAATTAAATATGCACTACGATCCGTTGTCTTACCCTCGATCGAGCGCAGCAAACAGTGTATCAAGTTGCACCGGCCCCATCGTCATCGCCTGCTACGTGTGAAGAAGACCCTATTTATACGAGTTGTGACTTCATTTACTATTCACCCTTTTCGCTCTTGTTTCTCGATGTTATTAATATTCCTGAAGTACCTACCCTCGTTCAAAAGAATAATCTAATGATTTGACATACACTCTCTCTCACACACACACACAGACGACGCACACGATAGTTGGTCTAATTTTTTTGTGTCCTCCGTTTTCCACTGGATTAATTTGAATAGCATTGAACCTCAAGCCATGAGTTCTAACCTCACCCTCACCGCCGCACTGGGAATTAGCCCATGGCATGCTGTGTTTTCTTTTTATGTAAGCAGACGTTTTTCGTCTCCATCCAACCAAGCACGCCAAGATCGAGGACAGGCCCTTGAAAAGTAACGAATGCCACATAAATAATGTTCTCCTAAGTACTTAATTATGTATTGCTTTGAGTTTGTCAGCAAACACACAAAAAGGAAAACATTGTCCTCGGAGAATGTTTCTCAGCCGCTAATGATTGACGACGTTCCGACGAAAAAGGTTCCATGTGTCGCGTGTAGTTGCTGTGGAAAATTATTGGTGATGGTCATTTTTAGAAGCAGTTTTTAATTTCCTTTTAGAAACAGCCTGTCCAATGACCCCGACAATGGTGCAAGTCTCTTTTGGCACCAATGCAGAGCTGAATAAGCATTTTTTAAGCTGAAGAAGCATATTTTTGTTATTCAGTTATTCAGCTAAAGGGTGATACGGTCAAAATTTGGTCAATATCAACTTGACGTATTTCTTTCAATTTTGCATTTAAAAAACCTGAACACCCCTCATTTTGAAGGTGTGTGTGTGTAGAATGTTGCTCTTATTTAGATTTTGGAATTCACTCTTCAGTTGTCAAAATGCCGTCCAAGCAAGAAGAGCAGCGTATCACAATTTTGCTCGCGCATCGCGAAAATCCGAGCTACTCGCACGCAAAGTTGGCAAAATCGCTAAAAGTTGCCAAATCAAACGTTACAAATGTAATTAAAGTGTTTGGGGAACGTTTGTCGACAGCCAGGAAGTCTGGATCGGGGGGAAATCGAAAACCGGAAGCCGCTGAGACGACAAAGAGAGTTGCCGGTAGTTTCAAGAGAAATCCTAACCTCTCTCTCCGAGATGCCGCAAATAAGCTGGGTGTATCGTCTACAACCGTGCATCGAGCCAAAAAACGAGCCGGACTATCGACTTACAAGAAGGTAGTGACTCAAAATCGCGATGATAAACAAAATACGACGGCCAAAGCGCGATCCCGGAGGCTGTACACGACGATGCTGACGAAGTTTGACTGCGTGGTAATGGACGACGAAACCTACGTCAAAGGCGACTACAAGCAGCTTCCGGGACAGGAGTTTTATACGGCAAAAGGAAGGGGAAAGGTAGCAGATGTTTTCAAGCACATGAAACTGTCAAAGTTCGCAAAGAAATATCTGGTTTGGCAAGCCATCTGTACCTGTGGCTTGAAAAGCAGCATTTTCATAGCTTCCGGGACTGTCAACCAAGAAATTTACGTGAAAGAGTGTTTGAATAAACGTCTGCTGCCTTTCCTGAAGAAACACGGTTGTTCCGTACTGTTTTGGCCGGATTTGGCATCTTGCCATTACGGTAAAAAGGCCATGGAGTGGTACGCCGCCAACAACGTGCAGGTGGTTCCCAAGGACAAGAACCCTCCCAACACGCCAGAGCTCCGCCCAATTGAGAAATACTGGGCTATTGTCAAGCGGAACCTAAAGAAGACCAAAAAAACTGCTAAGGGCGAGCAGCAGTTCAAGGCAAACTGGCTTTCTGCGGCGAAGAAGGTGGACAAGGTGGCTGTACAAAATCTGATGGCAGGGGTCAAGCGTAAGGCCCGGCAATTCGGATTTGGAAAAGCGGAAGCCTAACTGAATATTTTTCCTGAATTTTATACTAATTGAACTTGAAAAAGAAATTTAATTTGATTTTTTAAATAAACGATTTCACCGATTTACACGCGTTTTCCCTTGACCAAATTTTGACCGTATCACCCTTTATCAATGTTTGTTGGGAAATCCGTCATAAAGCTATTATAGAAGCACAAGCAAACAACATTAAGAATTCCATAAGGCATGACCTGCACCCAACCGCGAAATATAAGATTGTATTACAGATTTTCATGAAAAGCATGCAGACTTTGTAATGTGCAATGCATGAACAGATTGTGAAATGTGATCGTCGGAAGGTTTTGTAAACAATTTTGAAATTTGTATGAATTTTCGAACAAAGTTAGTTTCCCCAAATGGGTCTTACGCGAGGTCTTGCGTTTATTTCAATCCATCAAAAAAAAGTCGAACTTTCAATGGAATGTCACGTTTTTTTTTAACAAAGGGTCAACACAACTATAGACTAGCTTCCCAAGCCTCAACTGCTACTTTTGGATGTGTAAGGGAACTGTGGGTAAACCAGCTCATTATTTTGAACATTTCGAGACACATTGGACTTACAATGAACTTTCAAATGCCACGAAAATAAACAAAACATATCCAAAACATCGTTTGTGTGCAGCTGGATGTCATTTTTTGCGGGAAATTTTAATGTTTGCCAGCACAAAAAGGTAAAAATCTTGGTATGATTCTCATTTTAACTCTTTATCATCGCGATAAGAGATAGTTTTGAGTAATAATATGTTAATAATGATATTATTGAAAAAATATGCTTTGCTCAGGAGTAAGACCAAAGAAGAACGCTAAGATAAAACAGTCCGAAGAAAAAACTTTATATTTTAGTGTCCTCTTTCGCGGTCCCTTTACTCCCTGTATGCAAGGTGTTTTTGTGCTTATGGTACCCCCTCGGTAGAGTTGAAATTTTGCGCTTTTACCAAAAATCAGAGATGTCCAAGGGGTAGGTCACTCCGCACACCAATCTTGGGTCATATTTTTTGTCAGTGTGTCGCAAGTGTGCCGATTGTGCCGGTCATAGAGCAAGCTGCGATTGTTTGTAAAATACCCATCCCGGCAACCCGGTATTTCTGACACCTTGAATGTTTTGGTTTGAAATCGCAAGGATAAATTGAATTGAGGATGACGCAGCAAGTGGCGGGTGTGCGAAATGTGCGATGTTTTGTGTTCCATAGGCTTATAAAAGTCCTGTGTTTTAGTGTTTTATAATGCCCTCGAAGGCAGACCAGAAACCTAGCTTTTCGTGATGTGAAAAGTACCGGTCTATCAACGCCCGGAAAGAGTTGGAACCGGTGGGGAGCATTGTTGGAGACCGACTATAGAGGATGATTAATATACTTCTTTAGATTGTTTTGTGTGAGTTGCAGCATTATTTGAATTAAGGGTACTAATGGGGTCTGATTAACTGCCTCTTTCCCTTGAGCCCACTCTAGATCCTACATTTCATATTTAGATCTATAAGTGAACTGCTGGTCTGAGTTCCTCTGGTATATTTAATAAGAGGATGTTCCAGAATATTTGTCAAACAGCACGTAATGTTGTGAACAACTTCAATGACAGCTCCCAGTGTGCTCCCATTTTTTTTTTGCAACAATCCAATACCTACGAGATTGTACCAAAGGTGTGCCGATGGATGAGCCCCAGCTGTGCCGAATCTAATTTTGGCACAATGTGCTGAGTGACTTGCCCCTTGGAGATGTCCCATTTTTAATAACTCGATCAATAACTAATCGAATATTTTTTGCTCACTGTGCTGCCATTTTTACTTCTATGAGAGTGCAGAGCATGTTCGAAACGTTCGCTGAGTTTTTACATAGTTAACTGAGCTTTTACTAAGTTAGCTCAACTCCTATTTGCTGCAATTATAGAAAGTTTGCAAGATTACATATCTACGAAGTATGTTCATCCAAGTATCCTGAAGATCTATGTAGTTTTTTGACGTTTTACAACGTTCCCTGAACTATTACGAAGTTCTTCGAATTTATATTAAGTTCTCTGAAATCAAATGATGTTCTCATGACTTTTACAAATTACCCTTAACTTCCAAGAACTTCCTTGAACTCAGACTACAGGCTCAGTTTTATAAATCTGAAACATTGAAAAAATTCCACCATTCGCAATTTGTTAAGTAGTGGTGAATAAACATGGAAAGCCTATCTAAAAA